TTCACAGAATAAACTATAAAGTGAACTGACTGCATATTTTGTGGGCAAAACGCAGCAGCCAACTGCACACAACAGTGTCCCACAAACAGTTGTGGATTGAATAACCAAATTATTATTGTTTTTTTTGAGGGATTATTACCCCTGGAAAAGTGATCCCATGAATCGACTAACAACCAGGTTCCTACTTATGGCTAGGTAAACAGAAGCATGTGGAGTAAGGAAACTTGCCCAATGTTTCGCCCTGCCGGGAATCAAACCCAGATCTCTCGCTTGGAAGCAAATGCTCCAACCTTTGAGTTACGTGACTCGACAGTAAATATTCTGTGCACAATATTCAGAAACAAATTTTTTTTAAATTTTTTGCAGATAGTCTATCCAGTTTGTGAAGAAGAGCTGATATATGAGCGAGGCGATCTGAGAATTTTGGGGGGGCCAATGCAGGGATTTAATTAGCAATATTTGAAAATTGAATTAATTATGTTAATTGCAATCTCCAGTTGGAGAATATAGGAGTCCCATGTATGTCAGCCTGTCTCAGTGACAGGCATCTGGTCTCTGAGTCAAAGGTTGTGGGTTCAAATCCCACGTCAGGACAATATTTAATCCAAGAGTTAAAGAACATTCTTGGTGCTCAGGTCTGGATAAAGTAAATAGAGGGTGCGGCAAAATGCAAAGTGTGACATCAAGACTGTTAGAAATTTGTCCTTGCCAGGTATAACCGAAACCTTCAGGAAATCTGAAGAAACAAATACTGGCGGCCTGTATTTGGTCTCAGGTAGATCCACTTGTAGTCTTACATTACTGTGTGGCACACTGCCTCTTTAATATTTACTGTAATACTATATCAGTTCACAGACCATTTCAGGCACTCAGTATTGGCGCTCTCAGCGAAAGCTGAAAAAGTTTGATCATGGGCTATAATAATAATACGTGAGTCACTGCTGAGCAACAGGTTTCTTTAATGTAAGAGATGTGCCCAAACGGCTCCATTACAATTTTCTTCCAGATTAGAGATTAATGCCTGTTCTATTTAGATAGTATTACATATGTTGCAGTCAAAGGATGTAATTGAATCACTTTTTTTTATCTTTATTCACTGGCTTTTATATTTGCCCATTTTGTAGTATAAATTGAAAGGGTAAGACAATACATGTCACTTCTCAATAGGAGATATAATCAGTATATTGTTTACTATCCCTTTGGGGTTGCACCTACCATGGAGCCTAATCCCTGCTGTTGGTTTACAATGTTCTTTGCCTAGTTCTCAGTGGAGCTTCTGTGACACAGCCATCTACAAAGTCAATAGATATTGTGCAAGAGGTTATTTTCACTAACATGTGACAGAGCAGTATTTTGCTAAATTGCAAATGTAAAACTGATGCATGGTTTGTAGCTTTAGATTTAGAATTCATGTTTAGGTAAAACTCTTAAGAAATCCATTAAAAATGCTAAAAGCCACTACGAGCACATTACGTAGGGAATTTGTGATAACAATAATTGGCTGCTGTTTAATTTGGTACCTTTTATAATGTGGGTTCAATGTTCCTCATACAAACGGGGAACATGAAAGGCTGACAGACATTAAAAAAATGCAGCATAAATGCATCATGTACTCAATCTAATAGCAATGAAAATGTCAAAGTTGAGCAATTATCATTGATTTCACACAGCAGGATGTGAAAATATTCAGAATAACTTTACTCCAAACTAATTCCCAGTGAGATAATCCCATGATAAATTCACATCTCTAGTCATTATTTCTTAAATATAAGCAAATTGTTGGGTTAAAAGTAAAAGTTTTGAGGCAACTAGAACATAAGATAGACTCTTTCAATTTACAAATTGTGTGAGTGAGGAGGGATATCAGCTGGACATAAATCCCAGAACCTGTGATGTGGTACTGGTTATTGTTAGGGTGAGTGTCAATAGTGTAGAAGTTATTCAAGGGAGCATTGCATTGAATGTGTCTTAGTGCAAATGTATCAGCTCTGAGGGCACTTATCCTTTTGAAATCTACAGATAGCAAATTATATTTGTAATCTCCACATTTCAGTGGAACATTGGTTCCCCGAAGTGTTGGACAACATATTAATGAGACCTGTGGGATTCTCAGATCTCAGATATACCTGATTCATACTCACTTGGCGTAAATTAAATTTATTTTCATCCCTCAATTGCCTGACTTGTAGGCATACAAAGAAAATAAAAGCCAAACAAATTTTGCCTGCAAATGTACTGTCACTAGACTTCACAGTAAACTCCTGTGAAGTGGCTCAAGATGCCTCAACAATGGGATAAGATGCTATATCAAATGCAAGGATTATTATTATTATTATTATTATTATTATTATTATTATTAACTATGCATTGGAAGAAAAGGCAAATGTCAGAGTGTTTTAAAGTACAGTTTATTATATAACAGTTTTTTTATGACAACGTCGTCAGAGTACAGCCCTGCAGTGCACATTGTTAATGAGGTATTGAGAATTGAGAGAATGGCATGTTTCTAACTAATTTACCAGTGTTCACCTAATTGTAGGTTCTTACAAATCAACATTTTAGATCATTACGCCACTAGTGGCCAGTCAGAATTAGGTAGATAATTTCTCAGACTATCCTACGCTCTATAGATAATTCATGCTCACAAATCATTATATACAGTTGTAACAGCTTATTGATCGACCAACAGAATTATCTGAATGGCTGTTTGTGTTGTGAAAATTTGTTCTGGTGCTTTGTGTATATATGTTCCCCTCAATCTAAACAAAATAATGAGCCCTATTTTCAAGCCTGTGTTTCAAGGTATAGTTTTGCACACAGGTTGGGCTATGATAAGGATTTAAGCATTCTTTTTTCTGCAGAGGTTTTAGGTAAACAATATATAGACAGTCCTGATCGCACTCAAGTCAAACATATAGAAAATAGATCCCATCCCATTCTTTAATTTGATGTTAATTTAGGGTGTCAGCTTGGCTCAATTGGTTTCACGTGAGTCAGAGGTTGTGGGTTCATGCCCCACATTGGGACTTTGGCCTCATAGTCTTGGATGATACTACAATGTAGTAAAGACAAATCATGGAATATGAGCAGTGTTCCATTGGTGGAGGTTCTTCAGATGAGGTATTAAACCAAAGTCCCGTCTGCCTGTTCAGGTAGTCATTAAAAATCTCAAGGCACTATTAAAAAAGAAAAGGAAGTTTCTCCCAGTGTCCTGACCAACAATCCTCCAGATAAAAATATTAATATGATTCACTTCACGAATGTTTGCAGGACATAGTTGTGTGCAAATTGGCTGATGCATTTGCTTATAGATATACAGTCTCTGCTCTTTATGGAAATACTCTGTAAAGCGCTCTGAGTGTTTCAACATTATGAAGGGTTGTATCAAGTGGAAGAATCGTAATCATCATTTCCTTTGTTGTAGAAAAGTTGAAAAGGGATAGGCCGGCAATATTGTGCCTAGTGAGCCATACCACATAGGGAAAATATACCATTTAACGCAACTTATATCAGATTGCTATCGATACCACCCTTTCTGGTATAGTTGGGCACTGGCCAAGGGAGACTCAAAATGGAAAGAAAATATTTGAAGATAAAGTTGAAGACGTTAATCGTTTAGTAAAGAAGGATCCAAGATCTTACCTCTTATTGTATAGTGTTGTATCACGAAGCCCGTGACTGTTCCACTTACAGCTCACTGTTCTACAGTGGAAGGAAGGGAATCCTTCAAGTGACACCATGATAAAGGCATGAATCTACAGACCCAACGAACTGGAGAGCGCAATGCCTCAAGAATACTGAAAACCTACATGTAAGACTGCACTGCCATCACCAAAGAAGGCCACAAATCCTATGAAGTGTTACAGCTAAGAGGAGATTTAAATAAAATGACATTTGATCACTTGGTCAGAAAATGTACAAAACAAACGTTTTGTCTAAACTCAATCAGATCTGACAACTTTAATGCTACTGAGGAACATTTTAATAAACAGGGAGTTAATGCTGGCCTGAAATGTTATTCGCAGATCCTGTGTGATCAGGAATACCTTACATTATGAATACTGATATTTAACTTTTAGTATATTGAAAGATGGTGGAAGAGAACAGGAATGTACTGGGGGAATCGCATGATATAGGATCAGCACATTGTCCTGTCACATTGGAATTTAGTTTTGAATCAATCCCAGACAGATGGGATTAATGTTTCCTTTGTCTGTCTGCTATAAAGGTGCGATGCGAATTGAACTTCGACAGTCTGAACTCAATTTATTAGCATGGGCTCACAACACAAAACTACATTAGTTTTCTATTAATTAGCATTAAATTGTCAGTCTCACTCAGAGGCTACAGGATGGCTGTTGTAGGAAATGACAAGGTCATGAAGATTCAATCGGGGTATTATGAGTTTTGAGCTGTTACAGATTATTGGGGCAAAATCTTTATTCTCCTTTTATACCTTGGTGTGGGAGAAAATGATACAGGGTACCTGAAATAAGAAATTGTTCCATTCCTTCCGTGCTCATCTTGATGAAAGCAAAAATTCACAAAAGTAATGCCCTTGAACATCTTGATTGTAAGAACACACTTTTCTTCCCCTTCCATCTGAGTTTGCCAAACAGCTGGAGTTACAAACAGGATACATTGTACTGCCATTATATTAATAATATAGGCAGTTCTAAGTGATCATCAGACTAATATAGCCACTATATCCTCTACCAATCTACTCCATACAAGCTATGACACAGGGCCATTAAAATATCACTGAAGAGGTTAGGAAAAATCGACTCATTCTTTTTGATACTGCTGGTTTCATGGTATAAAATGTAAATGAATTGAATAACACCTACTAAACCTAAACTAGATTCTTGGACAATAAAAAAAAACTTTCATCATCTGTTATCCTAAGATTGAGTACTTTTATAGGGAAAAAAATACATATATCATCTGTATTATGCAGATGAGGTAACAATACAAAGCACCCATGTGTTCGACAAATGTAACTAATTAAAAACAGGATTTCTGATACCGGCTAAAGCACTGCTATGTTGGCGTTTTCTATTAAGAAGAAAAACAGAGATTATAAAAAAGGAGATGCTCATTATGCCCAAGATGACAGTTCCAGAAATTAATGCACTTGTCACAGAGTTCATCGGTAGGGTAGACATGTTCATATTGCCTGGGGAGGAAAGAGAACGTTAAAAAGCCAGAGTATTAGAGATTAGAAAATATGTTTGTTCCTTTTTTACCAAAAAAAATCTTTGTTGCATTCTCCTTCATGATAAATATTAATAATCCTTGCATTTGATAGAGCACTTTTCAGATCTTCTAGACATCTCAAAGCTCTTCACAGAATATACTGTAAGGTGAAATTGACTATATATTTGTGGGTGAATCGCGGCAGCCAATTGCGCACAGCAGTGTCCCACAAACAGTCGTGGATTGAGTGACCAAATTATTATTGTCTTTTTTGGAGGGGTTGTTATCCCCGGAAAAGCAATCCATCAATCAACTAACAACCAGGTTCCTACTTACTGCTAGGTAAACAGAAGCATGTGGAGTAAGGAAACTTGCCCAACATTTTGCCCTGCTGGGAATCAAACCCAGGTCTCTCGCTTGCGAGGCAAGTGCTCTAACCACTGAGCTACAGGATTCCAAATAACTAACACTGAGATACAAATCAGAAACCTACAGAGATCCCAATTCAACCTTTATTCATGGTGATGTGTCATTATTTTGTCATCAACTATACTTGAATGTACTAGAAATTTCAATTACATATTTTAACAATTGTTTTCAGTTACAAAATATAAGTACAAATTGAACAATTCATTGCACTTTTTAAAGTTATGTTGGTATCCATTCTCCCCCCTTACTCTCCTGTAGGAATTGTTTAATTCTGATCTACACTGTGTGTCAGCAGTCCTTTGGTACATAAATCAAGTGACCATCAAGCCTGAACAGTGAGCATCAGCAGGATATTCAACAGGCAGCCAAATCATATCATCCCCTGAACTTCAAACAATCAAACTTTGTACTTTGATCAAAAAGTTGTTCCTTTCTTCGCTGGAGGGTGCTGAACCAATTTGTGCATGTCTACTGCCAGACTACCTGAGATCGCAAAACCTTAAGATACCCTAAGGCAGCCAGACAAAAGTCTCAGGATTGGGAAGGGCAAGTTAGGACAGACACCAGGAAGTATTCTTTCACACAAAGGGTAAGGGACAATTGGAAAGAATTTGCAGGAAGGACAGTGGAGGTCAGGACACTTTCCATGTTTTATCCATCTTCCAAATTCTAGGCAGCCACATAGTCCTACTCCATGACCCAATGATACTCCATGCAGGGATTTTTGCTTTTTTTAACTGCTGAGAATTGTACCTTGTACATGTTTCTTTGAAAGTCCTTTGCTATTCTATTGTACTACTTTGTTTTAGTTCAAATCTCCAGTTGGATATTTTTTAAAAAAGAAATAGGGGGACCTGAAGTACGAGCAATTTAATGATGGTCCAAGTTGCAAATCAATAGCAGAACGAGGCTTACCAACTAGGGACTTGTTGTTTGCAGTGTCATCTGTCAACGTTAAAAGAAAACCACATTTCAGTCATATCAGAACCAGGAGTGGCAAGAATATTGCGCAGTAACATATGAAATCTTATCTTTATTTATCAGTCTATTATCATCTCTGTTTCAATTCTACAGATACTTGCACAATGTGTTGAGTTTCGGGTGCTAGCAGCTGACCGAGGATGGCACAGGTTTGTGAAAAACAATTTTAGGACAGACACTGGAAAGTATTTCTTTACACAAGAGTAATAAACAAGTGGGATGTGTCATCATGAAAGGTGTTGGGAACCAGGATGCTGGATTCCATTAAAAAAACAGTTTGATGTTGCAATGGGAAGATAGTAAGATGGGTATTCTGCAAAGATGAGATCAGAGATCTGATTCAACCCAATCTCTTTTGTGATCTTTATTTTATTTCTTCATATATATAATTTATTTGTTGGTTAACCACACTGTTTTTTTTTCAGAAACATATCTGTATTATTGATATTATCTTACATGATTGATACATCCTGGAAGAGGACCTGAATTACATACTACTCCCTTGAGCAAAATACCAAGTTAGAATCATTATATTGTGCCACAATAATGCGAGTTGGCAGCACCAAGTTATATTGCTGTCTGAGCACAGCTTTAATCTGAGTGAATATTTAATAGGAGTGATGAGCAATTAGAGCAATCAGATCACACAGGAGGTTTGGATGAAAAAGGCTCTTCATCTTTACAAACATTAAAATACTTACGGACTGGTTCAGCACATTTCTCTTGACGTTTTGGGGCTTCAGCCAGAGTGGAGTGAGGATACCTCCTCTAGGCTGCCTCACACCACTTCAGTTAGATTTGCTCTTCTTAAACTGAGATTATACTGCAGAGGAAGAATGTGTTTCTATGCATAGGTAGTCTAATCTTAGTTTGGATACTCCTAAGCATGGCAATGGGTTTTCACACCTAGCTGTTCAAAAAAACCTTTGCAGAGTCTGCATTCAATCATTGGTATTATTTGTTGTACTGTCACACACTCTGATATAACCAATATAACCAATAACCCATTCTTCAATAATTCATTGTCAATGCCTGAAAATAGGAGGCAATTCTTACCACTTTCACTCCTGGTAATAATGGGTCCAGCAGTAATGACAGCATTACCAGTGGAAGTGCGAGGGATTAAGGTTGTTGCTTCCAGCAAATCCCTCCGTTTCCTTTTGTAACAGATCTGTCAGAAATAAAGAATATTTATTTAGTGTAGTCATTATTTGAATATCCTCAAACTCCAGGAGTGATAAGTCGCATCAATTAAAAGAGACAATTTATGCAAAATGCTACTTACCGGAGTCAAGAAGGGGCAGTCATCTGATTTACAGAGCTTTGTCACACAGTGTAAAAACACTGGAGACATCTTCTGATTTTTGTGCTTCACAAAGCGGAAAACTTCAAATGAAAATCTGCCCATTTGACTCCTGCCATTTTCTATAATGGTCGTCTGTGGATCCTTGTCACAGCTGTTTCATTAGTAAAAAAAGAAATGAAACCCAGTTAATAGTCAGGATTAACTGTGGAACACATCATTTCTAAGCTTTAACTGGAACTGGTATGTTGCTATTTGCCATCTTGATGCTGATGTTCTTTATTTTCATATACTGTAGCATGTTAATAAGTGGTATTTTCAGTAATAAGAATATACTTGACAAGCTAAAGGAAAAAGCTCACCATTATCTAAATTCCTTAATGCATATGAACACTGAGATAGATTGAAGACCTTAAAGTAAAGCACATCTTTCGAATTATATTGGACCTATTCTTAGCAATAGCATAGGCATGATTATAATAATAATCCTTGCATTTTCATGTCTTCTAGACATCTCAAAGCGCTTCACAGAATATGCTGTAAAGTGAATTGACCGTATATTTGTGGGCGAAACCTGGCAGCCAATTGCGCACAGCAGTGTCCCACAAACAGTCGTGGATTGAAAATGACCAATATATTATTTTCTTTTGTTTTGGAGGGATTATTATTAGGCGTGTGGAATAAGGAAACTTGCCCAAGGTTTCACCCTGCCTGGAATTGAACCCAGGTGTCTCGCTTGCAAGGTGAGTGCTCTAACCACTGAGCTACACTTGTTGGTAAATTTACTGACTTGGATGGTGTCTAACTCATACTGACAATGTTGGCAAATTTACGAACCACCAGAGAATCACTTCTCGTGTCTTAAATTAGTTGTTGAGAGGTTCAATTGCAAGTCATTTTGTTTAGCTTGGACATTTGCAGGGGCACTGGGTAGCATGTTAGATCATAGTCCTTTTCAGCTCTTATCAATTCTCAGATAAACTTCCACACCCATAGGCAATGAATGAAAATACTCTTGAGGCTCAGTAAAACTCAGGTTTAAACTCAGGCCATTTAAAGCAGGTGAGCCTTGGCTTGATTAACAGGACCTTGGCCAATCCGAAGTGAGGACTTCCCACGAGCAGCCCTTTGGCCCAAAAGTGGGCGGGTGCTGATGATGAGAGGGGCAAAAAGGGGGCCCCATGGGTGCTGTGAGTTAGGGCTGCTCTGAGGACTAGCTCTGGTCCTTCTCAGGACTCAAGGCAATCCCTTCCAAGTTCCACTTAAAGAGGTGAGCTGGAGATAGATTTGGGGGGTGGCTGAGATCTCTCTAACTCTAGTCACCGACTGCTTATGCACCTACGAGAGATTTTGACTTATTGAACAATACACAAGCATTGTAATGAATTCCATAGAGCACACAGAAATAAAAGCTACTCACCTGAAGAATAGATCATATCTGTGTTCATCATTTGGGTTACCAGAGGGAGTGGTGTAACAATAATCCATCAAGACGTGCCACCTACACAAATAATAGGTCATATTGTGTTCTCAAAATTAGTTGTCAGACTTATAATTGATGTAAATTGGAATATAAACCAAACTATTACCTTCCATCAAGATTTGTAGCCTTCACTGCTGCGTACACCTTTGTCTTTAAAGGGAGCCCTAAACTTGGTATCACAAGTGGGAGATTGTAGGCTGAATCCTATTAAAATAACATTCAAAATTTTCAGGCTCATATTTTTAAGACACATTGTTAAGGCACGTATATCATGGTCAACTGTGGTCTACTAAATTATTGAGGAGTTTTGAACTTAAAGTCTAGGAATCTGCCTTATTGGTTATATAATCCACTACTAGTACAGGAACAAAATAAAATATAATATCAAAATTATTTGTCATATTTGCACCAATTTCAGAATTTTGGACAAAACTGCAAAGAAGAGTTTAGATATTTCAACAGTAATATCACAAGAGGTTACATGAAATAATATTACTAGAAAAATTGTTGCAAACTTACATTGTACAGTAGTAAGTTCAACGTACTAATAAATGTACCATTTCCGTCTTTCACTGAAATTGCTGCAGATGATCTAAAAAATAAAAAAGTAATTTAAAAGCTAAACAGAAGTGTCCATCAAACACTTTGGCAATTCTGCTGATATAGTTTTGTTTCAAATTTAAACTTACGAGGCAAGTTGGGTGTTGTTGATAAGGTATTCCAGTGGATAGCTACAACTGTACTTGTATAGGAGTCCTGGTAAATAGCTAATTATAGTTGGAGGGTCAGGAGTGTCAATATAACCTGAAATGTTTCCAAACTGCACCATCGACAAATTGCCTAATGCATTGATTCCTTGAGCAGAGGTGACCTGTAAAACAGTTTTCAAATAACAAGATACTCTTTACTTTTCTATGCTTAAAAATACAAAGGGTCATGAATTGCAGAACGCAAACTATAATTTTTTGTGGAGCAATATTGTTAACCATACAATGTTTGAAAATATCTAATAAAATATGAAAGGCTAAATATGTGATCCATAGCTCCATCACTGATAGCACCATGAATAATAGTTTTGAATGGCATTTGCATTATTAAAATAATTCTAGTCAGGGAAAAACAATTTCAGTTATTGAACTATGTGTGGCCAATCTTCCTTCTTATTTCAGTACCAATGAAAGATAGCAAAAGAGCAATGAAACAGTTTTTTTTCTTATGGTTATAATTATTTAAGGTTTTCCTAACTTCCTAGGCCATCCACCATTCTTGAACCAAGAGGACAGGCAGGAAAGACATTAGGAGATGCAAGACAGTGACCAGATATAACATGTCCCCTAATGTTCCTTTAAAATAAATAAAAAAATAATTTGAGTACTCAATCCACGACTGTTTGTGGGACACTGCTATGCACCATTGGTTGCTGCGTTTCGCCCACAAAATATACAGTCAATTTACTTTACAGTATATTCTGTGAGGCAGTTTGAGACATCTTGAAGATGTAATAAGACACTATATCAAATGCAAAGATTATTATTATTATTAATAATAATGTGAACATTTGCTCTAATTTATGATATCATGGATTTCACAATGGCAAGGTGATCTATTAAGTATCTCGTTAGAAAGTTGGAGGAACCTCTTCAAATAATGGGAATCAAGGTTGCCTGAGAGTTGTGAATCTGCAACTGGCTTAATCTGATACTACAATGAAACATATTGAGTGTTCAACAGAAATTATAGGGATTTGTTTGATGGTTGTTTGTTTGTTTATTTATACATTTATTCATTTATTTATTGGCTTAAGAAATATTTCCTTGCACATCAAGCCTGTATGAGGTATTGACTCTAAAAGTAGTTTTGGTTACAAGAGCAGAAAAAGTCTTACCACTAAATTATTTCCACAGACTTCTAGGGTATTCAGGTTGATGGTGAATATGACAACTGTGGGAAAAGTGCTGTTGTTGATGAAACCCCTGCAGTGAGCGTCTCCATGTCTACCATTTAATGCTAAATCCGTTTCTGAATAGCCAGAGAACAGTACCGGACAAAAGTTAATCTTGACTGTTATGGTCTGTACTCCACAATAGATAATGATGTCCTTTTCTCCTGTCAATAGAAACATTCAGTGTAGTAAATAGCAATTTGATCAGAGGAATACAGTAAAGATTGACCAATACCATATATACCCTGATAACACTGTTACAGCTAAATTCAATATTGGCAAAAGTCTTAACATTTTTATCTACATTGAGATTTATATTGCAACAATTCATAACAAAAGTTGTTGCAAATAGCTACTCCTTCCAATCACTGAAAATACGTCATGCTGACCAGCAGCAATTGTGCTCCAGGGTGATTTATTATGGGTTGGCATGATGGATTTCCAGTTATTGGAAGGAGTCACGTTGATATGGGTGCTAGTATTTAATTATCTTGTTTGTCGGTAACCTCATATTCCTTGGATACTTCCAATGAAGGGTTATAAATCACATTAAAATCTTAGGTAATTTCCAAAACATACCTATCCACTAAGTGCATGTTTCATGCCTCTATTACTAATCTATATTATCTTGTATATATATATGCACATTACGTTCTATTGTGAGGACTTGATAGAGCGCTATATCGAGTACAAAGATTATTATTATTTGGCAATCGTATTATTTTTTACTTCTACCGAGGTTCCACTTAAATTTTCTAAATTTGTTATCAATGGGATGTGTTCAACACATGATTAGCTGAAATTTAATAGTTCTTAAAATCGATGGCGTGTACTGTAATGTTCATTTGGTTAAAATGTTGGGCCACAAGCATTTGATAAAATCTATAAACGATGCAGAGTTTCAGAAAATATTACATAGGACGTGGTACTACAAAACCTTATACATAAGAAAATATTACTTATCTTCTCTCTTAAAATGTACATGTAGTAAAATCAATATATCTTTGCTGCTCCAAATTATTAAAAACATTGAATGCAGGTGACTTACTGAAACATGCAGTAAATTTATCCACCATGCTTATTTCAAAGAGTGATATATAAGACATTGTTGAGTTAAATTATAGAGCTTTGGTTTTGAGGACTGTCAAAGGTCGCCATGATAAAAACTATTTTCAGGTCCATTTTACTAAGTCTTACCAGGGAATCTGCTGTGTAGATTAGCATCACAGTTGTATCCATTGAACTGTGCATCCACTGAAAGTATCCTGATTGCTAATAGCAGCAGGACACATAACCGTTCCATCGCAAAACTGTTGAAAAAGCAAACAAGTATGATACTTCTAGCTTGTTTGTAAAAAAAAACTTGAAATGATATTGTAACAATTACTGTTGCACATGTTAATTTTCAGAAATTTAGGTAGATTGAATGATACAGACCTGTAAACGATCACATATCTATAACACTATAGATAGTGCTACTATATAGATAGTCATCCAGGACCACTTATTCTCTGACACTGGTTGCCTTTCCTCCCGTTCTGAAGGCCTTGACCCATCTTGTGGTATAGTTCCACAAATTGTTCTTACTTACACCTCTCCTAAGTAGCTGTTCTTCATGTGGGCATCAAGATATCTTGAAGCGCTCTGGGATGCTACCCGGTGTGAAGGGTGCTATATAAATGCAAGTTGTTGTTGTTGATATTTGGAATCAGAATAGTATGTGAGGGCATGAGAGCTGAGACAGATTCTGCACTCACATTCGAAACCCAGGAAAATACACTTTGTCTAGCAGGAGTCATTCGATAATGATCAGGAGTGTCAACCATGGCTGATTTCACCCCCTTCCCCCAGCTGTTCCCCCCAGACACAACAAAAACAAAAACTGAAAAGAATACAGTATTGCATGGCTCATATACTACATAAATACTTTAAATGATTACTGAAACCCAGTATCTCAGGTTCAAAGCAATGATTTTCCCATTGAAAGTATTTTAAAAATGATAAGTTGCTTGGTTGATTTGACCAGCAAAAATATATCTTCAAAAATTTAATCATTTTTTAAAAATCCATTCATTTTGCATGTTATAATAATAATAATTCTTGCATTTGATATAGCGCCTTATTACGTCTTTGAGATGTCTCAAAGTGCTTCACACACTATACTGTAAAGTGAATTGACTGTATATTTTGTGGGCGAAGTGGTAGCCAATTGCGCACAGCAGTGTCCCACAAACAGTCGTGGATTGAGTGACCAAATTTTGGATTTGTTAGGATTTTACAAAAGTAAAGAGTTTTTTTCAGTTTATGCTTTTAATATTTCTGTCACTTTTATCAAAAGTTTATATTTGAGCCTAATAATCTTTAAATATATATATTTGTTAGATCTTAATAGGTTGACAGAATCATCTGCACTTTGTATGAGTTACACTATTTGTGGCATTTGTAAATATTACATTTAATTTCTATTTCTGCTTCACAATTCTGCTGAACATTTTATTGGTGTCAGAAGAAATTGACTATCTTAAGCATGTATCTAAATATAATATTGAAGTTTGCCAATGAAATACAGTACTTTTGTGTTTTGCAACACATGAATTTGACTGATTTATGCATTTCACTAATAGAAATGCTCGATTTATTATTATTATTATGGATTCGTAAAAGAAGAAGAAAACTGTTATTTCCTCTCTATGTCTGTAATCGCAACTTCTTCAGAATTTAGTCTTTATCTTATTTCTAGGTAAGGAAACACAAATTTAGCACTGCATGTTGGCATTTGTAAATCACACCACAAGTATACACTTTCATTATGCTGAAAGTCATCTTAGTATTTATCTGAACAAAACGTCCTCTAAAAAGAAAGAAGTTCCGTGTATAAGAAGCATATTATCCCTCCTACCTCTCCGACCTACTATCCCCCTACCTACCTGCCCGTACCCTCCGTTCCTCTGGCTCCGGTCTGCTCCACATCCCCCGCCCCAACCGCCCTACCATCGGTGGCCGGGCCTTCAGCCTCTCAGCCCCAAGGCTCTGGAACTCTATCCCCCAGTGCCTTCGCCGCCTCCTCCCTTTCCTCCTTCAAGGCTGGTCTCAAGACCTTTCTCTTTGACCGTGCCTTCGGCTTCCCTCTCGACTCTCTGCCCCCTCCTCGCTCCCTCCCTTCCCTCCCCTCACCCTGACCATTTCCCCCCTGCTCGGGTCCTGACCCAACTGTACAGCGCTTTGGGACGTCCTCCCGACGTGAAAGGCGCTCTATAAATTAAATCTTGTTGTTGTTGTTGTATTTTGGTTATTAACCATGCACCCTTATTGCTTCAGTTTTTCAAAATTATTTAAACTTCGATCATCTTATTTTTTCCTTGCACAGATCAGGCTTTGACAGGAAACAAATTCATTCATTTGAGTGCTTATCTGTAATTTTCTAAAAAGATTTATAAAGCTATTCTTGAGTTTCAATTTTTTTCAGTACATTTTTGGCATGGCAATTCGAGAGATAGACTTATGGACAAGAAATCCACTGCAATCCCTGTTTTTATGGCAAGTAATGCAAATGAGAAATTACTAGTTATGAATAGGTCTCACAATTTGTATAATATTAATGTGGATAGTGAATGAAGAAAAAACTTATCAACATTTGGAGTCCACCAAATCACTGGAAAATTCAACAGTGTTATGAAGGGTAGAAATAAGTGAGTAAAATAATTTTGAAATTATGCCATTAAAATTACACCATTGATTACCAGAGTAAATTTAAATGCAGGAACATGAACAGGTTCAATGGAAGTAAAACACAACTATTTCCAAATGATCTTTAAAGAACCAACCAAATCATAAATTGATGTACCATTTGATTACTATAATTCTTTTTTTAATCACTGAATAGGATTATTGATTATAAACTAATAATTGTTTAAAGTTCACAACAGCTGGCTTTTAGAACAATCAGTAAAAAAAAATCATAATAGAAAGTTTTTTTTTTAACCTTAAACAAATTTTCATGAAGCACCCACAGCTTTAGATTCATTATTAAATTAAAGATACATATAGGCAGATAAAGAAAAACTCTGAACTTTGTAACTAACTTTTTAACCAAAGGTGCTTTATTCAATAGGCATCAAAGTGCTAGTTGACACACATTGTTTGCTCCTAAAACAATTATGCATTTATATATTGGAGGATCAAAATTATATCTGCCCATGTAACTTAAATAACAATTAAACCATCTTTGCTATATTAACATTTAGTGAAGCACAGAAAATCAATAATTTAAAAAAACTTATCTCTTTTTCAAAAAATATCTTGCCACTTACCCAAATACCTTGTAGCTGGCAGGTCAGCCTTGTTTCATATGCCTTTTGCTGCTGCATGTGATCAAGTTTTCAGCTCTCTTGCCATGCAGAATATCATCAGAAGAAAGGGGAACAGTGACAATCCAGGGAAAACAGAAGAATGCATTATTTAAACACTTTGACAAAAAAAATGTACGTGAAAGAACATGGGAAAAGTTACCAAATCTCAATTTATTATACAGCTCTTTTCAACAGCCCAGAAACCCGAGTAGGTTCTGAGGTTCAGACTTTGAGTGCATGCACTTTCTGTTTTGTTTCCATCTTTCAATACGCACTATTTTGTGAGATTTACACTGCAAGTCGTCGATTTCGTGAAATTACTGAATCATCAGGCTGTTGAATATTCCTTTCTGTAGTGCACAATGGGTCTGGAAAGACTAACTCAGCCACTGAAATTAAGCCAAAGTTATCAGAGTAATTATGTATTTTAGGAAGAATGTTTGGCTCATTCAATCTTGATTTAGATTTGGCTCTGCATTTGTTTCATCTGTTAGGAAGTGATTGTCCACAGCATATAAAAGCACAAAAGTGATATCTTCAAAACAGCCATTAGAAAGTCACATGAATGCATGTATATTCTCTTAACAAACTTTGTTTTTGAAAGCTTTAAGCTACACGGCGCCAAGCAACAAAACAGAATTTTGATGGTGTAACGATAAATGTTCCACTTTTCTCAATTGCTCCTCCTGGGTGTTGAAAATATCTCACCCGCACTTATATTGTGTCTTTGGGCTTTTTCTACAACAGCTAAACTCTTCAGTTGGCTCTTAAAGTACTATGAGCTAACATATTGATTGTGCCGCAAACATCTTATCATCAATGCACTTCTTCTGTAAGCAGATCGGGCAGGTGGGGAGGTGCGAGGGCATGGAGGGATTTGAAAACGAGTGAGAGAATCTTGAAATCGATCCAACAACAACAACAAGATTTCATTTATAGAGCGCCTTTCACGTCGGGAGGACGTCCCAAAGCGCTGGACAGTTGGGTCGGGACGAAGAAAGAGGAGAATTTGGGTGTCATGCACATACAGGTAAAATTTGACCCCATGTCTGTGGATGACATTGCTGTGAGGGAGCATGATAGTTATATATTTTTACATTCAAGGTACATTAATAATAATCATTGCATTTACTGGAGTTTTTACGAGAATTAAAATAGCTTATTTTCTTCTGACTTAAAATGAAAAGTTTTGAAATTTCCCATGTGAGAATCTGGGACGCCTTGTTTGATTTCAGTGGTATTCAGTGCTCTGATGCCTCGATCAATGGCATGACATCTCCTCCTCCTTTTACTGTATTACTGTGAAGCGCTCTGAGATGCCGTCCGGCATGGAGGGCGCTGTATAAATCCAAGTTGTTGTTGTTATTGTTGTATTCCCGTTCACAACAGCAGGGCTTGTAGCCCAGGCAGTAGCCTTAACAAATATAATAATAATAATCCTTGCATTTGAGATAGAGCCTTATCACATTCTCGAGACGTCTCAAAGAGCTTGACAGAATATACTATAAAGTGGATTGACTGTGTATTTTGTGGGCGAAACGCGGCAGCCAATTGCACACAGCAGTGTCCAACAAACTGTCGTGGACTGAGTGACCATATATTTTACCCCTGGAAAGCAGTTCGCCAATTGATTAAAAACAGGATTCCTACTTACTGCTAGGTAAACAGAGGCGTGTGGAGTAAGGAAACTTACCTGGTCATTTTCAATCCATGACTGTTTGTGGGACACTGACAACAGCGCAATTGGCTGCCGCGTGTTTCGCCCGCAAATATTCCGTCAATTCACTTTACAGCATATTCTGTGAAGAGCTTTGAGACGTCTAGAAGACGTGAAAAGCGCTATATCAAATGCAAGGATTATTATTATTATTATTATTATTATTATTATTATTATAACCTAAGGTTTCACCCCACCCAAGAATCGGACCCAGGTCCTCTTGTTTGCGAGGCGACC